GTTCTTCTCGCCAGCTTTCAACTACACGCTTCTGGGGGCTTATGGGTGCGTACGTGCTCAGCGCTTGTCATGTATGGTTTATCTGTTTCGGAATGGATCGCACGCCTCGCCGCATAGTGGAGAAGAAAAAGGTAAGTCAACAGACGAACTTCTCGTCCGTCCACAGCACCCTCTCCAAATCCCCCTGTTTAAATACCCATCTGTCTCCCTCTAAGCGATCGATGATCGGTCGTGCGTGGTGCGATATGAGAGCTATGATATAAGACACAATGCTAGCGATCGTGTCTTAGAAGTTGAACAAAGGACACACAAATTGGTTTTACCATAGAACATCCCTTTTGAAAAAGTTAAAAGACGAGATGGAAAAAGCAGATGCATTAAAGCAGAGGCATTACCATCTCGCATTTCCCGTCGTAGAAAGCGGTACCAGCGCGGGGCGAACGTCGTAGCATGTTCGATGGTTGCAAGGAGGGGATTGAAGGGCTACTAAAAGCACCCTTGCGTACTTTGCTTACGGTAGCCTAGTCCCCCCCCCCAAAATGATCAAGAAATCAGAGTCCCCCTACCATTGTAACAACTCCGCGAAAAGTGCGAGTCGGAAATCCAAATTCCCCCTCCTATTTGGGTCGATTTTTTTCGTCCCCCCCCTTTATCGAAACAAAATGCACCTGCCCCCTACTGTATCGATACAATATCATGTGTCCCCCCCTGACACCGAAAGATTTTGACCTTGTCCCCCTCCCAATCTCAGAATGACCCTTAGAATAATAATTTGAGAGTCACATATGACACGTTGCAATTGGTCTACCTAAATCCTACTGTTCCCCCGATGGCTGTTAACGCCTGCGGTTTTTTGTCAGCATCTAACATTACCGACAGTACCGACAGTTGACTCTGAAATCCATAAAGCTTGAACATCTATACAGCACAGTGCAATACTGTGCTACTTGCACATGTCCAAATGCCGGGGATAGCCGAGCGCGGTCGGCTACACTCCGCCCCTCCATGGTCACACCCATTGGGCCCTGCCGCTGCTGTGGCTGCAGGGGCCGCGAGCGCCGGAACCTCGGCAGGCCACCGAGGGACGAGAACAGTAGCCATTCAGTATTGAATATAGCCTAGTCAAGAGTCGTTCTAGCGCCCTCCGGGTTGTCCGGAGGGCGTATACATACGCCCATATATGCGAATATTGTATATTCCGATAACCCGGAGGGTGCGAGCTCACAGAGCGGCCGTCGCCGCCTACTGCACCTAAATAATGCACCTGGGTGCCATCTGTAGTCCAGTATGCTTAGTATCCTTCCCCTCTCATACTTCAAGCATCGCCACATCGACAAAAAGCTGTGCTGCTCCAGTAGGGAAGGGGGCTGCGTCAAGGTAATTTACTGACCACCACAAAGGAACACGTTCACGTTTTCATATAAACGTCATGTTTTTTATAGAGTATAACTCGAGAGTAGGCAGTGACCATTAAGGTGACGGTACTTTAGAAGTTGAAGCATTCCCAACCATATTATTATGGTAGGCGTGTTTTGAGGATTTAGGGCATAACTCGACAGTGGCCAGTGACCACTGAAGGTACGGTACTGTCCTTTCAGGAGACAGGTGAACCATTCCCCTGTCGAGTATATAATGGTAGGCGGGCCGCGGGCTGGAGGACGGTAGGCTGGCGGGCGAAGTGGAGATCGAAAGGCGCGCAACCGACACCCGGCGACGACCACCCCCTTTCCACTCCACGATGACAATCTCTAAGCACAGCGAAGTCGTGCAGATGGTGCGCGCGTCGCCAAAACTACAAGTGATGTTTGCGGGGTTGCTGCTGGTGGGTTTCTTCTTTGTGGCTAGCTTGCGTTCGCCTGAGCAGCAAGTGGTAGCGGAAACTGTGTTCGAAGACCCGCGGACGTATGAGAAGTGGGCTAAGGAGGAGCCGAAAGCGCCGCTGCCGGGGCTGCGGTTCTACCACAACCCGTCGGAGGACAACGCGTTCGTGTTCAAGTCGAGCACGGGGCGGGACGTGGTGGGGCAGATCGCGGAGCATCTCGGGCTGAATCGCGGGGTGGAGGTCGGGGTGCAGCGCGGGGTATTTGCGGTGGAGACGCTGCGTCTGTGGAAGCGGTGTAGCAAGTACGTGCTGGTGGACCTGTGGATGCATCAGGAGAACTACAAAGACAATGCCAACCTGGAACAGGATGCGCAGGATGCGATCATGCGGGCGGCCATGAACAACACGGAGCGGTTCGGGGACATGATTGAGACGTGCCGCAACTTCTCGGAGACGTGCGCCACGCGGTACGCCGACGATTTCTTCGACTACGCATACATCGACGCGCGGCATGACTTCAAGGGGGTGTTCTCCGACCTGTCTGCGTATTACCCCAAGGTGCGGGCGGGCGGGTTCCTCGCCGGGCACGACTACATCGACAGCCTGAAGGCGTTCGAGAACTCCAACCAGAACTGGACGGTGCAGTTCGACGGGACGTTAGACCACGGCCGGCAGGCGGTGAAGGGGGCGGTGAACCTGTTCTTCGCGCTGCAGGGGCTGCACGTGGCGATGGTGAACGCGGACTCGCGGTGGCCCACGTGGGTAGCGTACAAGCCGCGGGCGTCGGAGCCGCGTGGTGCGAACCCCGCAGTGCACATAGCGGATCTATCGTGCCTCTCCCCCGCGACGTGCGCGCTGGTGAGCGACGCGACGGTGGCTCACGCGCGCGCGTGGGAGCGGAAGAACGCGGGGTGCGTGGTGCTGGTGTGGACTGCGGAGACGGCGCGGCTAGCGTTCCCGGACGCGGTGGAGGGCCTGCGGGCGCAGTACCGGGGCGACGCGCGCGGCGCGGAGGAGAGGATGCTGGGGCTGGCCGTGGCGCGGTTCGGCGGCGTGGCGGTGGACCGGCGGGCGGTGGCGACGCGCGGGCTGGGGCGGGGGCTGCGCGCGGCGAGGGGGCGCGGCGG